TATATATATATATATATATATATACAATTCACTGCTAATTCTCGACAAATTATATATATATATATGTATGTATATCTAATCAAAACACCTTAGATGTGAAAAAAAAGTGCGGCCAAAAAAGGATTGAGTGTTCGACTTAAAGGAGCGAAATAAAAACTGGCGGCCAAGCTGGTAGCTACACTTATAGCTTTGATATGAATTTTACAGCAAATATTCGTTCCTTAGTTAGCCAGGCCGCGTTTTTTGTTCAACTTGATGATGGGTAAAACAAAATACGCAGCCTAGTTAACTAATGAATGAATATTCGCACAAGTTAAATGTGCACAAGTTTCTTAACAAGTTACATGTCCACAAGTGTTTTTAACAAGCTACATGTCCACAAGTTTTCATCAAGTTACATGTCCCTAAGTTTTATCAAGTTACATGTCCACAAGTTTTTGTCAAGTTATATGTCCACAAGTTTTTGTCAAGTTACATGTCCACAAGTTTTTATCAAGTAACATGTCTCTAAGTTTTATCATGTTACATGTCCACAAGTTTTTGTCAAGTTAAATGTCCACAAGTTTTAATCAAGTTACATGTCCACAAGTTTTTGTCAAGTTACATGTCCACAAGTTTTTATCAAGTAACATGTCTCTAAGTTTTATCAAGTTACACGTCCACAAGTTTTTTGTCAAGTTATATGTCCACAAGTTTTTGTCAAGTTATATGTCCACAAGTTTTTGTCAAGTTACATGTCCACAAGTTTTTATCAAGTTATATGTCCACAAGTGTTTTTAACAAGTTACATGTCCACAAGTTTTATCAAGTTACATGTATCCAAGTCTCTTAACAAGTTACATCTCCACAGTTTTTTTACAAGTTACATCTCCACGGTTTTTTACAAGTTATATGTACATAAGTTTTTTTTCAAATTACATGTCCACAAGTTTTTATCAGGTTACATGTCCACATTGTAATGTTACATACGTTAAGAAAACAGGAAAAAGATAAACTAACAATTTCATAAAAACAAAGCACTCCATCGAGTTTTCGCAAGTATAGAAGCTTTAATATAAATGTTTGCATACTCCTTATAATCCTTATATAAGAGTGGAATTTGGGCATTACTTTCATAACGCACCCACATCCCAAAGTACCGTTTGTGTTTTAAAGGCAACGAATTAATATAACTGAGACTATAAAAATCCAGACTTGTGGGGGAGAAAAAGTATCTTGAGTTAAGAGAAACCAAAAGAGCTCTGCTAACCAATTTCCAGAATTTAACTATCAACAAACAATCTGTCTGACTCCATACATCCTTTCAAATTATCTAAAATAATGAACTGCTCTCGTTAATAACAGTTAACGAATTATAAAGGTCGGTTTTATTTCTCCTCTTTTCAAATGTTTTCTTCTTTAAACTAACTCTGTATATGTATTTAACGTTGTAAATGTATTTCCTATTTTCAGTATTGCATGTAAGAATCATTAACTGAATTTTTATATAAGATAGTATTTAGATATATCCTTTACATACAATTTTGAACAAAGACGCTATTACAGGTTTTTATAATACCGGATGTGCCCTCAGACTGTCACATACGGTGAGGAGAAAGGGTTGAGAAGGGGTTTTCGTTATATATGGCTGGCATGTCTGTTGAGTCGTTTATTGTTGTTTTTTAACGACAGTCTAGCATGTTGATCATATACGGCTTAGTAATTGAGAATCTGGCTTCACTTTCTGTTGATGAAACTTGTCAGATGATGTGGGTAACGTGGTATCCTCAGATGTTCTGATGGAGGTTAGGATTGGATATAATGCTAGACAAAGTTAGTTCTTGCTCAGATTCTTTTGCCAAGGTTTACGCTTGTTTATAAAATGTTGTTCTATTGTGAAACATCTCTTTATCGGTCTCTTTCATTTAAGGTTGTTTCAGACTTATTCACACTTCTCTTAGAACCTCCTATTATTGTGGTCTTAATTAGCTTACTTTTTGACTCAGTGTACTTTGAAATAATAAAATCCTATTTTTATTTCGTATTATTTGCACTCAAGTTACCCCACTCTAAGGTTAATGAAAGAAAGTATATTTATTAATGATCATAGCTATAACTAAGGACACATTTTCCTTAATAAACTCAGCAATAATAATCTATGTTTTTAAATCAAAGGGTTAATCTGAAATTATAAAAACTAACCAATCGGATAAGTTCAGATTCTTTATACACTTACTTATCTATAATAAACTTAATCCTTTACCCATCACTCTGGATTGTGTTCATTTCTCCAATTTGTGCCCTTTAAACACTATCTGTTTCCTAGCTATCACACTTATGTTTCAAACAACTCGTTCATTTCTTATCCCCATGACGTCCTTTTGGGTCTTGATAAGTGTGCTGTATGTTTTAATATGACTACCGGTTGTATTCAGTTCGTTATTTTATATCCATAAACTGTTAATTCCATAATACGCTTATGTTCCAAATAACTTGTTCATTTCTTATCCCCATGACGTCCTTTTGGTTCTTGATAAGTGTGCTGTATGTTTTCGTATGACTACCGGTTGTATTCAGTTCGTTATTTTATACCCATAAAGTGTTCATTCCACAATACGCTTATGTTCCAAATAACTTGTTCATTTCTTATCACCGCATTTAGTTCTGTGATGCGTGACCCACATTCTTGAAGCTTTTCCTATCACTATTATTTCTAGTCAGATCATTATTTACGGTCCATTACCTACTACCATTGTAGTTCGTACTATTATCTTTAATGTATATCACACCTATCATCGACTGTTTTATTAATTACATATATCTTTTAGTTTTTCAATACAGAGTCTTCTATTAATTGGCATTAATCTCAAAAAACTAATAAGTATTGCGTATAACCAAACATTGCCACATTATTAGACTTTTTTAAATGTTACGTATTGTTACGTACTGCAGAATTAATCTATGGTGCTTTATTATTATTATTATTATTCCTGTTTTCTTAGCTTCAATATCCTCCAAAACACGTTCCTTCCTGCTAATTGTTTAAAATTAGATTAAATATATTATTTTTAAATACATTACAATGTACCAATAGGATGGTCATAAATCTATGGTGCTATTATTATTATTATTCCTGTTTTCTTAGCTTCAATATCCTCCAAAACACGTTCCTTCCTGCTAATTGTTTAAAATTAGATTAAATATATTATTTTTAAATACATTCCAATGTACCAATAGGATGGTCATAAATAAAAACAATTAAGTATCCTAGTTCTAATCATGTAATCTTCCCTTTTTTCAACGAAATTAACTTTTTATTGTGAGTCAATTCGACAGCATAAACACCACAACTGACTCTGTAACATCGTAAGCTCTTAATACCTTTCGTGTATCGAATACGCGTTGTAATCGTATTTTACGATTTTCGTAGGTTTTACTTAATTTCATCGTCTTATCTTAGGCCTTTTTTGAGTGGCGGTAAACAAATCAAGATACAAGAGCTTAGGTTGTTGCTTTTTTTTTGGATAAAGTAAATGTGTCATTATCACCATACTACTACGAATTTGTAAAAGTTGGTTCGTATTGGTTTTATATCAGCTACTAGAATTATTTTAATAACCCTCTCATTTTGTGTTAGCCACAAGTACGAAATTGTGAACGCTGTGACAGTAATCCTATTAAAACTGTAGCATCCCATACTTACGTGTCTGTTTTCCAGATTCACGACTCTGTAAAATCAGTCACACTCTCGCTACTTATACACTATTTATCGTACTCATATACGAAAATTTCCAAAATGATTTTAAATATTCTGAAGAAATTTCAAAATAAACTATTAAAACTATCATATGGTATGTGAGTTTGAATTTGTGTTTAATTAACAGCCTTTATATTGAAAATGTTTTCACTCTATCGTTCTTGTGGTAATAGTTTTATATTCGTTTGTTATCTGAACTTAAACTGTTAGGTTGGTCCCGAATATGAAACTTCGCATTCCACTATACTCCACGCTGATGGTTTGGAGAGCTCCAGCTTAAGCCTTCGGTTTGTGGTTAAGGACCATCATTTCATCAATAGCAACATGAGAATTCGCTGTTCGGCCACTATTCCCAGGGTTTACACGATGAGTGACGAGGAACTTGTGGTTGGCGGCCGATTACAGCAAGCCTCGGGACTTCTTCATATTAGTGAAAACGTTAGTAAAGGTGAGTAACAATTATCAAAATGATTCTAAAAATATTCTGTTAAGTACATATTTTACACAGTCGCTCTTCAGTTGAGAATTGAAGTGATCTGTGTTAGTCATTCCAAATATATATATATATATATTTATATTTAACATAAAACATGACAAATAACTTCTAATTATTCATGAGGCTTTTTTCCTGGACTTCAAAATGGCATTTCCTTTTCTCAGTCAGTATTAAAACCGAATTGTTATAGCCATCAAAATCATTTTCACAAACAGGAACCGCGTTAATCGCATATTGTAATAATCTTTAATGTATGCCATTGTTTACTCTTCTAGACAATATACTGGATTTTTCTTTGCAACCGGTGTTTAACGTGCAGAGATAGAATGATATTTAACAGAACCATGAGAATGTTCTTTATTTAAAACAAAATTACACTTGGTTACATTGTAATAAGGAAATGCTTTCTTTTATAAGCATACCATTTGGATCACGAATACCCATAAAAAATCGTAAGTGTGATAAATAGTGATAACTCACTAAAGATAAACTTTGTTTTAGGATTCAATGCACAAACGGAATGTTGCCTTAAGTCTTCTCTTAAAACCCGTTACTGTAAAATTCGTTTAAACTATATCGGGAAAAGCTTTGTTTCAACTCAATGAAATATTAAATGAAAAATCTAAAAATGGCTTATGGTAAAACTTTTCTGCGTGTTTGAAACTAATTTTCATTAAGATCAAACAGGGAGTAGTTCTCGTTAACAACACACCTAACTAGTCACGCTGTACTGGGATACATATGCTCACTTTACTCTAAAACGGCTAAATTCTAAAACTGATGTTACAAATCTGATAAGTCTGATCAACTTAAACGCTCGGTAGAAGAATGACATCAATCAACTTATCTGAGTCAGTTTTCCTCCACCCTTGTCAAAAGTCACTGAGGGAACTAAAATTAGATAAAAAAATATTTATTAAGAAATAAAAAAACTTCACCTACAGTTCTTCCATTTTCAAAATTAATGCTCAGCATTCAGTTTTCACTAAACTCTTTTTTGGCTTTGTCAAAACAACACATCTTGTCCTGAACAACAGTTACAAGGGTCTATCAGGCAACTTTATCAACTAGATTGTCTTAGTAAAAACAATACACATTGTCCCTGAACGACAGTTACAAGGGTCTATCAGTCAACTTTATCAACTAGCTTGTTTTAGTCAAAAGAATACATATTTTTCCTGAATGACAGTTACAAGGGTCTATCAGTCAACTTTATCAACTAGATTGTCTTAGTCAAAACAATACACACTGTCCCTGAACGACAGTTACAAGAGTTTATCAAGCAACTTTATCAACTAGATTGTCTTAGTCAAAACAATACACTTTGTCCCTGAACGACAGTTACAAGGGTCTATCAAGCAACTTTCTCAACTAGCTTGTCTTAGTCAAAAGAATGCATATTTTTCCTGAACGACAATTACAAGGGTCTATCAGTCAACTTTATCAACTAGATTGTCTTAGTCAAAACAATACACATTGTCCCTGAACGACAGTTACAAGGGTCTATCAAGCAACTTTCTCAACTAGCTTGTCTTAGTCAAAAGAATACATATTTTTCCTGAACGTCAGTTACAAGGGTCTATCAGGCAACTTTATCAACTAGCATGTCTTAGTCAAAACAACACATCTTGTCCCTGAACGTCAGTTACGAGGGTCCGCCAGGTAACTTTATCAACTAGCATATTTTGGAGTATTTTAATTCATCATATAATGTTCTCTGGGTTAAATATAATGTCTCATTCACAGAAACGTCATTCTTTAAAACGATTCAAGCTTTTATGGCTCATGATAGCAGTCATCCTCTCCAATTTACTTCAAACGGATATAAAACACGCAAAGAATCGTGCCAATTTTAAACAATAAAATTCACAAGGTGTCTTTAAAGTAAACAAACATATCTGAAGGGAAAAACTTAGACATGTCCATTAACTTATTCTAAACACGAAAATACCAAAGACTATTAATGAAAGATCTAACATTTACAGATTTCTCTTTTCACACCAACGAAAGTAATCAAATATGTTCATTTCTCCGTGACATTAATCTACTTAGCTACTCAACAGACTAGAATTATACGTTCATTTAAAACATTTATACTAGATGTTAACTATATATTAAGGTTGTACCTGAATTACAAAGTCTTGTCCACTCATTTTCCAACTAAAATAGAGAAACAATTATTATTATTGTTAAGACAGGTCAAATTTAAGAGATAGTTATTCCTAAAGAAAAACAAATAATTGCCCAACAGGTAAATACTTCTGTACAGAACTCAGAAACCAGAAGTTACGAAATTTCTTGGAAATTTATTCCAGTACAAAACAGTAAAACCTCTTAAACTCCAATATCATATACCTGTTCCTACCAATTTTGATGAAAATATATGAACATCTATTTACAAAAATGTGCACAAATACGATATAACACAATAAATTATAAAAAATCTTATCACACTTGGTTTTAAGAGTTTCACAAAACGAAAAAACAACAAATGATCTAACAGTTAGTGGATATCAATATAAACACATAGTGTTGGCTAATCTTTTTATTCTTAAAATATATCAAAGTATGTTTGTTATCTATAGGATATTTTGGAACTTAAGACCCTGTGATTTGTCTGGCTAATTTTTGTTGATTTATTATAGATATTTGTCACACATTGTAAAGTAGTTGTTGGATATAATGTTATTCGTTTGATATGAGTCAAAACAAAAATAAAGTTTTCCAAGTTTTAGTTAACCGATTGTAATGCAATTTGTTTCAGCGTGCGTGTGCTTTTCATTTGAATTAATTAACAGAAGCAAAATATAATAACACATTATTCCGTTTGAAAATTGTAATGCTGCTCGTAGCAAAATGCCAAAGTTTACAAGTTATACTTCAAAATCGATGTTTCATTTCAATTCTCTTATCTAATCATTCTCCTAAAACAAACCCTTCCCAGTAGCTCAGTGATAAGGCTGAGAACATATAAAACTAACTACCTGGTTTCGATACCCGCGCTTGGCAGAGCACAGATAGCCCATTGTGTAGCTTTAGGCTTAACAACAAAGAAACGAACAAAAAATATCCAAAAACGATTTTACAATAAACGTGGAAGTCGCCATATGTAAAATCGTTGTATAAAATTTGCAACGTCACACTTCTTTTTTCCAAGCATTATAACTCATGGCGACTTTTTTTTTTTTTGAAGAAACGAAATATCTTTCATGAAATGTTGTAATGTTTTTCAAACAAGACCCAAATCTCGAACGCTTTCGAATAGTTCACTACTCTTCTTCAGGAGAATAAAGAATGAATAAAGAATTTTTCCTGAAATATTTACAGCTCAACTTACTATTCGTTGTATATCATAAAAAGTAACCCCATTCATAATTCATTTCAGAAACAAAAAGACTTAATGGCACCTTAAACTCCTGTATCATGTTGTTGAATATTGTTCTTCGATTTGCTCGTCGTTCTTTCTCATATCCGAACCATAAGTAAAAATGTAAAACGATTTTTTTCTGTTTATATTTAGCCTTTCCTCGCCACCTAGAGATAGGTATATAAGTGGTACTCTACCTTTGTTATTTCATTTAAAAACAGCAATCCCCGTTCCACCGAATATGCTCGCCCTTTCAGCCGTGGGGGCGTTATTATGTGATGTTCAATCCCACCATTAGTTGGTAAAAGAGTAGTCCAAGAGTTTGCGGTGGGTGGTTATGGCTAGCTGCCTTCCCTCGAGTCTTACACTGCTAAATTAGGGACGGCTAGCGCAGATAGACTTCGTGTATTTTTGCGCGAAATTCAAAACAAACAAACAAAAAACACCAAATACTACTGTGGCAAATATATATTCGCTATTCTACCCTGAACTATTTATTTTCAAAATAACAATCGTACATGTTATTCAAAAATTGATAGGATATGTAATTCTGGTTCAAAATGTAGGTATTTGAAACTTTTGAGTACTGCCTCGCCATCTCGTGGAGACGTACATTGGTCATAAATTAATTTTTTCATTTAGTAACTAAATAATGTATCTATCTAATGTATTCGATATTTACACACTACAGCCTCCATTTAAGAGAGGATTTGAATATATTTGACAGTAATATACAATGTTTACAAAGCTTGATATTCAGTTTTTGTGATGATCACCGTTACAATAGACTCTAACTGGGCGTAATAATCACAAATCCTTTAAACGCTGAATTATGATTTGCCGTCAGCGAAAAGTTACTTTTTTGTTGTTTTTTTTCCAGTGATTAATAACGAGGAACTGGCGATATATCGTACGTTCAGTATAAACCCCTAAGAGAATAGAAATATATAAGTTCAGAACTTCGAATTTAGCAAGAAGTTAGAGTCATGACTATATATATAATTAATCTAGGCTTTTATTTTTCTGTTTTTAAGGTTTTCAGAGTATTCAAATACTAATTATGAAGTTATAGAATAAATATATTATAGTAAGTGAAATTTTTACGGGATTTTCTATGAAAAAAAAATTGGGTACTCAGGACTTCCTAATCATCTAAATCAAATATTTAATAACATATCTTATTGTTACATATTAAAAATTCTATCATTGATTGTGAACGGTAAACACTCCTTGAATTAGATTAGTTTCTTCCACAGAATTGACATTTCCGATTGATATTGGCTTGGGATCAGATATGATTTTGGATTTTAGATTGAAGAACAAATTGGAATTTTTATTTTTGACGTTTCTTAGCTTATTAGAGAGCTACGCCCAGATGAAATGAAAGTGTATCAAAAGAAGGAAAACAAATTTTGAAATAGACGTACTGATCCGTGAAGAATCTAACCCTGAGTCTGGGTTTTTGCTGCTGACTTCAATATTTTAGTAGATTCAGAATTGCGGGCCCTGTTCATTTTTTGCTCGAAAAACACACATATCAGTTTTGAGACTTTTTAGATTACGGTTAAATTGACCACACACACACACAAAAAAAGAAATTTGCTTTCGAAATCAATCTATGTAATATCAAATTCAGTTACATATCTTAGAAATAATGATGAAAATATTAAATTTGCATTAAAATACATGAATAGTTGTCTATATTTTAACTATTAACATAGAAATGGAAAGTATTGTGGAGACGGAACAAGATTTTTTATTTTTATTTTTTTTGAATAAAGAAAACAGACTGAAACAACCTAGCAACATGTCGTGGTATTTTGTTTCTTGGTTTCTCTATGTTTGTGTTTCCCAATCACCAGACTGGCATGGCCAGGTGGTTAGGACGCTTCAATCGCGATCTGAGGGTCGCGGGTTTGAATCCCCGTCCCACCAAACATGATCGCCCTTTCAGCCGTGGGGGCATTATAACGTGACGGTCAATCCCACTATTCGTTGGTAAAAGAATAGCCCAAGAGTTGGCGGTGGGTGGTGATGACTAGCTGCCTTTCCTCTAGTCTTTTACTGCTAAATTACGGACGGCTAGTGTAGATAGCCCTCGTGTAGCTTTGCGCGAAATTCCAACCAGATCCAATCAACAGACTGCGAGTGAAACTGCGAAGTGACATCATAAATATATACACGCAAAATGTACATATTTATGTGATATAATTTGATAATATATATACATAACAGAATATGTATCATAACAGAAAGTGGGGTGCAATGACACCCATTAACTGGTAAGTAAACACTTATATCTTATTTTAATGTCATATTCTCCTACTAATTAGGAGACTCTTCACTATTTTCTTGTAATTCATATTGGGTTTGTGATGTTGGTCTTGGACGGGCAACAATAAAGTAATCAATAAAGTGATCTACTGTGATTCACTGATTTACAACATTTTTTTTTTTATCTGGAGAAATAATTAATATAAAAAAATAAATGATCACCGAATTAAATTGTTTGAATAATTAAGGATTTTATCTTACTAATGAGATGGGCTCATTAAGTCAATACTGTAGGAATCATAGAAGAAAATTGAAAAATGTTACTTCTTAAAATGCACATATATATACTTATGTTATATCCAGATTGAGTTTGATATAAAGTTGTTACAAAAATTCTCCACATTACCTTGAGTGCGATCATAAAATTATATCTCTTTTTAATAAGTTAATGTTTAATATTTAAAGTAAACTTCTAGAGAATTGTCTCTGGCGAAACATTATAGTTTGTAGTGTTAAAATATTTTTATTAAGTAATACACAAATAACGGAACGATTGAAGTTTCCCCAATTTACTGAGATTTAAAAAAATATTAACAATAATAACAGCACAACGAAGAAACGGGAATGTTCTCATAGTAACTTCATTTTTAATAATTAAACTAAAAACGTTATATTAGTGGATCACCGGAAAACGTGAACATGAAAGGAAGCTTAATTCCGTGCCAAAACCACGCCTACCAGTTGCGTTATATTTACTCCCCATAACCAAACAGCATTTGGGAGAGACGTTTGAACATAAAGGTGACGAATATAGCTTTATATGTTCTTTATCTACAGACAAGGAAAAAATGAAAGTAAATAAAGACAGAGACGAGTGCGAGGACTATGATAACTATGTACGAGAACTATGATAACAAAAACAATGTCTTTTTTTTTCTTCAAAAATAATACTGAACACAACATTTGTAGCTAAAAAGAATAACAAAATATATAACAGGAAGAATTATAAGTTGTTATTTTGAAAGTTTACATTTTTGTTATCCTTAACTACGTACAATGAAATCAACGAGTCTTTTTTTCGAAAAGACTCGATGTATCAAGCATATAGACAGAAACTAAAATATAGGAACAGATACATATTGATATAAAAAATAAACTGATACAACATAAATAGATTTGATAAATGACGAAAAGTGATAGCTATCTAGAGACTTGGGAAAAATAACGATATATTTTTTTTCTCTGCAGTTCGAGACTCTGCTCCTCACTCCATGGTTCCAGTGTATTCTATAGACCGTGTTCTACCCCTTGCGTCAGTTGCCTACAGTTTTTGGATCCTAAAATTGTAAACACACACATTTCAAGGTCTAAACATCTCCAACCAAGACCTAGGAGACACCAAGACAGTAATACTCCTTTGGTGAAATTAATGGACAAAATCTTTCATGTAAGAGGCAACTTTGATAAAAAAGAACAATGTACCTGTTATAGGCCAACCAAAATTACCTACCATTTTACCCAACCTCCCTTCCTACCAGAAGTGAAGCAGATCCCATCAATCACGTGCTTGCGTGTTTCTGTGGTAGTCGGTTAAGAATAGTGCATAAATTGAACAGGACTGCCTATGTTGTCTTTTCCTTGCTTCTCACCCTTCCATGCCCCAGGTAATTACATGGCTGTAGAAAGAGGTATATATATATATATATATATAGAACTGAAAGCCTCTCTTTTCGATCAAAAGAAGAATTTCTATGCGTCTTTAACATGTCCCCAGTCTGACAACGCTATGATAAATCAACGTTGAATAATCGTGACGAGCACCACCGACCTCGTGAATTCCGATGTTGGATTTGCTCTAAGTGTTTGTAACGACACATCGTGATGTATTTCGACATTTTCTTTTACATATTTTTTTTTTTGCCTTTAACCCATTCTCTTTTAGTTCGAATAGATTCTTATATCAGATCTACAAATGGATGCTTGTCGAAAATAAACAGAATTAACACAATTCATAAAGTATGCACATAGTATCGTGCAATTTGCCCTCATAAGTTTCAGAACACTTGTGAACTTTACACAAAATCACAGTAAATATAAATTTCACGCACAAACTGATACATATATAGACGTTACATATATATACAGCAAAAAATAATTTCAACTCATCAGATTTAAGACTATTCAAGTTTTATCCATTTTGACTTAGTTTGCGTTTGGTAATACAGTACGATAAATCATATACCATTCGATACTTCAATATTTGAAGCTTATGGATTTTCGACCAGTATCTTGACAACACCTATAGAAATACCGTTGCAGGATGGTAGTGATAACGTTTGTATCATAAATTATTAAAATATGCATCGTGTACACTTGAAGTAAAATGCAGTTAAAACAAATTGCATGTCCCAGGGTTTAAAATGATGTTTAAAACTCTACATACTCGAAGGATAATTTAGAAGAAATGTTAGATTAAGACACTCCGGTTTAAAATGATGTTTAAAACTCTACATACTCGAAGGATAATTTAAAAGAAATGTTAGATTAAGACACTCCGGTTTAAAATGATGTTTAAAACTCTACATACTCGAAGGATAATTTAGAAGAAATGTTAGATTAAGACACTCCTGCCTAGTTTCTTGTAGATACAAGCATGGCAAGTTTTTTTCTGTGTTATAAAAATAATAAGTTTTAAACATTGAAGAATTTCTTTTACCCTCAAAATCTGTAAATTTTCTCTTCTTCACTGTAAATTTTTATAAATTAACCAGTATTCTTGTAAACAGGTTTAAACAATTGTGAATTTCACTAAATCTCCATATTATGTACAAATAATAATAATAACTTTCGTAAATTATCTATTTTTCGTAATTGAAACTGGAAACTTATCAAAAATCTCTACTCCAAACAGTTCTTTCAAGAAATTGTTGGCGATATTTTACTGTACACCCACTTGTCACTTAAAGCTTTCATCAGGGTACAAACCCTAACTTGAAGGCCTATCAGAAAACCTCTAGTTTACTCACTCTGATCAGTAGAATATGAGGCACTTAACTGATAAATTCTTATGATGGATGTGAGGTAAATTTGGTTTGTGAATATTTGAGTCATGATGTACTTTGTGTAAAGTATTAATAGATACAGTGTGTAAAATATTAATAGATGTACCACAAACAATCAAGTTGATAATTTTTTCCTTTGACCCGAGCAACTACATAAAGGATTATATATGTATTGGATTTGGGTCTAGGGATCTTACTTGTCTAGGTTTCTGAACTCTATTGACATATCCCTACAGTGTAAATATTACGACGACTCTATTTGGAACATAGTAATATTTTGTGAGTCAATATCAATATTAGTTTAACTTATTGGGAAACCAATATATACACACACAAAAAAATTAAACATATATATAATATATAGATACAAGGTTTTAGGATAGTGTAAAAATCTGAAGTTTGACTTTTATATTTTATGTGTTTTAAAGCTTACTTCTATATGAAAATCTAAACTCATTTGACAGGTTTTTAATCCTTTATTTCAGGTATTTCTATAGCAATATTTTACATAATTTTTATTCAAAAATACCGAGATCAGTAAGCCAATTTCTTCGAGATCGTCGAAAGAACCCTAGATAATAAACAATAGTTCAAATGGAATACGTAAATGAATATGAATTATTAAAAACTTAGGTATATGTTCTTAGCCTAAATGATTATGTTCAATGAAATCTTAACTGATTTTGTTCAATTAAAGAACTCGCTGTGACGAAGAAATTGTGCAAAATCTTCAGTACATGTTTATTTATTTCAATGAAGACAGCGATGTCTCAGAAATTCTTATATTTCATAATCGTTTTCTTTTTCTTGTGATCATTTTATCGCTTTTTTGTTTTTCTTTGCTTAGTTTAGGCTACTCCCTTTGATATACTTTACTTTTGTAGAATAATCTCGAGCTGAAGAAATGTTCAACAGAATTCTGTGATACCTAATATAGATGGCTATTGTGAATAATAAAAAGTATGGCTCCTCAAATTAGGACCCCCAGTGACACAACGGTATGTCTGCGGACTTACAATGCTAGAATCCGGGTTTCGATACCCGTGATGGGCAGAGCACAGATAGCCTACTGTGTAGCTTTGTGCTTAATTACAAACAAACGAACCTCAAATTAGGTATAAACTATAGTCTGTTCACATATACCCCTACTGTTTTATTTTTCGATATTTTATTAGCACTGAAGCATAATATTCCAATATGGATGATTGTATTTCAGTAATAAAAGTTATCGAAGCTGTACTTAAAGTTTTAAGCTAGCACATATTACTCGAATTTTTCATTGCTGTATACAGAGATTCTAATTATTATATAAATTCAACAAAAATATTTAGTGCTTATTAATCATTTTCAACAAAAACCTTGCATTATATTTCAGTCTTAGTGACTTTCTAGCTAATAATATTTGAACACGAAACAAAAAAAATTTCATTTCATATAAAATGGAGAAAATGAAGATATATTTCATGTCTGTTTGGATCCTCTCTGATGATAAATATCGATTGTTTGAATTTTAAATGCGATTTGAGTTAAATACCACAGACAAAGTATTTTTATTATTTGTATATTAACCAAACAACATAGGGAAGTATCTACTACTAATAATACTATAATAATGAAACTATTACCACAAAACTTTTGTATCCGTTATTTGATGAAGAAAGAGGTTGACAGAAAACAAAATATGAAACTTAATTCACACCGAAACAGTACTGTGTCAGTTTCTTCAGCCTCTAAAGCCAACTATCATTAATTTATTCACAACTTGTTTTACTAGGGGTATTTTTATAGTTTTATGGACTAGTTTTGTCTCATCCTTTTAATAGGGAACTTGTATTATATGGGAAATTCTTTACTTTCAGTGAAATAAAATCGAAGCTAATGTTTTGTTCCAGTAATTAACTTATAAAAATCCTTTGTTGTGGAACTCAGACAATACGAAGCTACTGATTTGTGATTATTGCTAGGGAAGGATAACTCAACGTATTATTATGTAACTATGACGTCATAAGAACTATCGTTTTAAAACTTGACGCGCAGTGATAGCTTTGTAAAAATTAATATCAATTAAATGGATTGTTATCTTTATTAATTACATACTTGTAAAAACATTTATTATTGTAGTTTATACGATGTATGAAATTGGGATTATATAACTTAAAAATGATATTACTGAGGAAACGTAACATAAACTTTATGAGTTATTGCTAGAGAATATAAACTCTCTTTATAAGCCTGACAATCAGAGATAAACATATGAAAGAACCACTCGACCGAAAACTATATAACAATACTGATTATTACTTATTAAGGATTAACCAATAGCGCGTTAAAAATTACTTATTCTGTATTTTTACCAAGTATGATGAAAGCTATAAACCAAGCTTAGTGAAATACCCTGTCAACAGAAGCGCGGTATTACAAGTGCTAAAGTCTATTCACTTCGAATGTTATTATATCTTAGAAGAAAAAAAGTTGGTATTATTTATGTTAAGTTTTTTTACTGCTCAGTGTTATAGCTATCTCTATGTGTTACTTTATTGTATCCTCTCCCTTGTGTTCTAGATAAAAGAGAATAAAAACTAAATAAAGCCGTAATGTCAGATGTTTAATCTCTTTGGAACTGAGTTTATTAAAAAAAAACGTTCGTCCATGCACAAGATTTGAACTTCTGTCTTGGCTAGTTAAGCATGGCATTCAGGCCAGTTTAGGTGACAAGGCTCTATAATCATTTTAATCACTACCTTTTCCACATTAGTTTCAATGTTAAAGAAAATAATGTTAGAGAACATTTAACCGTTAGAGTATTGATTATTGATTAATAATTTCAATCACTACCTTTTCCACATTAGTTTCAATGTTAAAGAAAATAATGTTAGAGAACATTTGACCGTTAGAGTGTTGATTATGTCAAATGAACCTGGTTTCGAGTCCCGCAAAATGTCAGCATTCATGTTATTAAAAATCGATTTTATTAGCTTAGTGATTCAAACGTATTTCCATTAAAAAAAAAATGCCCCCCAGTGGCACAGCGGTATGTCTGCGGACTTACAACGCTAGAATCCGGGTTTCGATACCCGTGGTGGGCAGAGCACAGATACCCCATTGTGTAGCTTTGTGCTTAATTACAAACAAACAAACAAATTAAAAAAAATAAAAATTCTCATAACTTGAGTTTAGTAAAATGTATTTTTTTTCATAATAACATTTAAATTGATAAACTTAAGGAATTAATTTCCTTCACAACCTAGAATTCATCTGAAAATGGATATTATATTTATTTGATGATGAACACTCAACTTAACAGGAGTATAAGCACCATTTGATCGCGAGTAAGAAATATTCATTTTCCTGCAAATCGTTGCTCAGTGGAGTATAATGACAGCCATCGTGATTGTAAACATACTTTAAATTCAATTAAAATAATTTGTCTGAGAAAACAAAACTTACTGAATACCAAAACATTATTCGTATAGTCATACAAAAAGTAGATTCAAGAATCGTAAACCCTACAGCGAAATCATATCTGGACCAAATCTAAATATCTTTTTATGATTGATCAAAATTAAATTAGTAAAAATATTCGTGTTATTGCCAAGTATATGTTAGTTTTAACTTTCTCTAAGCAACATCACCTTAAGATATAACATAAAACAAATTCGTAATATAGAACTCTTTATAGGCTTCAAAGTCCTGACTTCAACTGCAGTAAATAACTTATTCAGGTCAATTCATAATCACAATATAGGCCTCTTAGAGGCTTCAATGTCCTGACTTCAATTGCAGTAACTAGATTACTCAGGTCAATAACACTTATGTGTGTTATTCAGATTCTATAATAAAAGAACACGTGCTAGAGATTATTAAAAATTAAAATGTGGAGGTGTATTAATTAAGCAACAATTTGAGGCAGATAGATTTGTTAACATGAACATGATTTGTTAAGACTGCTACGTATTACAATTTCAAATACCCAAAAACTGAGTTAAATTGTAATTAAGATTTAGTATATAAAATAAATGCCGATATGTATCCAATTTATGATATCTGCCAACAAGATTGATACACACAGTTTTCTTTGTTTTATAAAATATGTTTTAATATACAAACAATAATACAAGTTACAATAACAATGAGTTACATACAAAAGTTTTACAAACTTACAAGCAATATAAAGTATTCTTTCTAGTCTGGAACTTTCTTGATGTCTTATCCAGGGTTCACGATGAGCGAGTTAATTTAGAGTTGATGTAGGTACACTTCACTTCATAGGGAGCTAGCTAGCTCTGCAAAATTCACTGATCACACGCCGATTTTTCCTACCGGTGACGTTAGGTAATGTTTTCGTAAAAGTACTAATGTACGATTTGAATCCAC